GGAGCAGAAGGGAGGGGAGTTCTAGCACAAACCAGGGCACAAAGGTGGATGACTTATTGATGGACCCAGGAATGCAAAGGTCTCTATGATTTTAGCTGAGTCTTTCTAAGGACCATCCAGCTTCCTGGTGAGGTATGTGACATGGGGGTCTTAGCTCTTGGCAGAGCTTTAGAGACTCTAGAAACAAGGAAGGACAAAGGCAGCTGTCTTTCTGAATGGAGACTCTCCACAGCACCGGACAATTGGGCAGTGTCGAAGTCTCATGCTGGTCTGTAAAGCTAGGCCAGAAGAGGAATGGGGAATAATTAGGATGGGCGATTACATCCAACTTATAGGTAGGTCATCCCAGAGGCCAGAAAAAGACAAAAGAGTTTGAGGGATCTTTGGATCAAATATTAAGAAACTCTAAGAACAGCTAATCCTGAGCTTCTGATGTATGTCAGACACTGCATATATATCAGTATATGTATACTACAGTTTACAGGCTAGATTACACTCAGAGATATATCAGTATAATGCATCAGTATAGTGATACATTATATCATTTAATTATTTGTTTATCGGACAAATATTAAGCACCCACTATGCACCATCCTTCTTCAAACAATTCAGCCAGATTACTTTTACAGAGAAGAAAACAGAAGTGACGTGAAGTACCATATAATTTCCCCACAGTTATATGTGCTTTAGTGGCTCAGCTGAAATTCAGATTCCGGCTGGCAGTCACACTGTGCTTTGCACCAGAACATTCTTCTTCAAGAAACCTTCCCAGCTCTGCCACTCTTCGTTCCAAACATCACAGTAAGACAGCTAGGATGTGCAAAGATGTGTGTGTGTGTAGACACAATTGGCAATTATCCAAACTGGCACACATGATAGGTGGTAGCACAGATAAACAGCAGGCTTTTGGTCCTTTGGTCCTGGAGGGATTTGTACTCTGCATTTGAGGGTGGAAGATTTCAGCATATCTGTGTAATTCAGCTTGGTTTAGGCTAAGATTAATGACTCAATTAGCTCCCACTTTTGAGCATCCTAGCAGCAGGAAGGAGTGACCCAGAACGCAGGAGGCGGTGAACAGATTAAGCACTCACGCTCCCTGAGTAGCCCCCATATGGAGGAAACCCACACATGGACGTGGGTCATCCTGCACGACCCTGGGCGGTTTCCTGGCTTCTGCTTTCTTCGTCAAACACTGACCTCCCGAAATGTGCCCACCACATGATCGTCCTCTTTCTCCACCCCAGAGCAATGCAGGCCTCTGCGCCTGCGGAGTGTTCCATCCCAAATGTTGCCTGGTGGCTGCAGCATTAGTCTCCAGTGTATGCAGCTTATGGAAGCTGGAGTGAAGGAGGGGGGACTCCCATCTGGGACCGCGGTCTTTGCAAAAGGAAAGAGCCAATATGATGTGATTTCCAGAATCTGCACCACCTGCTGGTGCCCAATGCACCGCCATTCACCTAAGGCTTTGATCCCTGAGAAAAATGCAGCTGCCACAAAGCAGGGTTACACTGAAGGGTCTGAATGAGCAGGATTGGAAGGAGGGAGAGTGATGGGAAAACCACACGGAAGGGGAGCCGCAGAAGAGGAAGGCGGAGTGTGCCCAGGGCAGACGCCTCCCAGGCCCACCATCACCTCTCCTGATGCCTGTAGCAGGAATGAGCAGCACGCACACCTGTGGGTTTGTCCCAGTACTGCTTCCGGGGGGGGGAGCTGATACTCCACACCGTCCCATCCTCCCTGCCACAGCCCCAGGTGGCTCCTGGCACCACATGGCCCCGACACGCCACAGCACCCGACGCTCCTTCCCGATCTTCAAATTTTGCAGTGTCATCCTCTAGCCTTGCTCCCCCTGGGAAGCCTTGCTACCTCTCACCCCTGCCTGCTGGCTCCAGACCCATACACCTGTCTCAGGGGCCGTCCTGAGCAGACTGATTCTCACCACGAACACAGCCCATGGGTAATTAAAAGGTATCAGCAGGGATCCAGCTCTTCCCAACCCACAACCTCCCACCTAGGCTGAGAGGAGGGAAGACGGGGTCAGCAGAACAAAGGGAACAGGAAACAAAATGATATAGCAGAGTCTGTAATCCCAGCACTTTGGGAGGCCGAGGTGGGCGGATCACAAGGTCAGGAGATCGAGACCACCGTGAAACCCCGTCTCTACTAAAAATACAAAAAATCAGCCGGGCGCTGTGGCGGGCGCCTGTAGTCCCAGCTACTCAGGAGGCTGAGGCAGGAGAATGGCGTGAACCCGGGAGGTGGAGCTTGCAGTGAGCGGAGATCGCGCCACTGCACTCCAGCCTGGGTACAGAGCGAGACTACATTTCCAAAAAAAAAAAAAATGATAAGCAGAGGATACTCTCAAGTTCAGAGGTGTTCTCCTCCCCTGAACTTTCTTAAGTGGCTGACAATCCAAATGGTGGGAGCTAGGACTCCCCTTTCCCCATGCCAAACTCAGAAGATAGGAACCTCATTCCTGGAGAGGGAGGACGTGGCAGTGACTGACAGCTCAGGCTCTCAGGGTCTGAATCCCTCACTGGCAGCAAGAGTTCTCGGGGGCTGAGGCTGGGGGGTGACGCTGAAAGAACCGAAGGGAGCACCAGGTGCTGTGGCATGTCAGGGCCGTGTGGCGCCTGGAGCCACCTGGGGCTCTGGCAAGGAGGACGGTGAGGAATGTCAGCTCCCCCACCCCTCCAGGGGCAGTGCTGGGATGACCCTGATCAAGTTATGTAACTTTGATTTTCTTCTCTGCAAACTAGGGGCAGTGGTAGTGTATGCTTCATGGAGTAGTTTTAAAGATTAAATGAGTTACTTTATGTTCCTAGCACGGTAGAAGCATCTGTTATTACTAATAACTTCAAAAGCAGAAGTACAGTGATCAGAGAGGGAGGGGCCCAAGATTCATGGGGCCCCAGCGGCAGGAAAGAGAGAACAGGTACTCCTGGCAACACTGAATAGGAAATTCCTGGTGACTGGAAAAGTAAGATCCCACCACCAAAGAAGACTTCAGGACAAGGAGACAGTTCCTGACATACTGTCCCCAGGAAATCGTGTCTGCGTCTTTTTTCTGAAGAGCCCATGACAAATCCAAGTCCATGACAACAGTAATCATTATGACCTTGGAATCTGCCCAATGGCACAGAGCCAGAGAGGGTTGAAAGAAAGAAGACAAGGCAAGAACTAGAGAAGAAGGAAGAGTGGAAAGATAGAAAAAAATCTGCTAACACCCCAGGGCTAAACCTCTTTCCCCAACAGGTCACCAAATCCTCAAAACACTGGACCAGAGGGCGGCCTGTTCAGGGACTCGGGTTTACCCCACAGGTCTCCTCTCTCTCACCTTCTCTCCCCCATCCCTTCCTCCCACCCTGGCTTTTAGCTTTGCTCTCTTTAGGCGTCTCCTCAGGGTGGGTGGCTCTGAGCAGGCTGCAGATTGCTGTGGTGTTTTCTTCCCAGACTGAGGAAGGAGATGGGAGAACCAAAGGCAACACTGCTATTGAATGAGAAGCAGGAATTGGAGAAGGTTTCAGTGCGGGAAAAGGATAGGAGCTGATGCACAGAGATCCCAGGCTGCTATACATGGGGACAGGGCTAGGAGAAGGCACCAAGAGTTTCCTCTCCAGTTGGCCTTCCCTGTCAACTCCAGCTCCTGGGCACCTCTGCCTCCCTGGAGCAACTGTACAATGTATTATCTTTGATAGGTGTTTTGCTTTGAATCATTCAACAAACAGCACTAAAGGCTATTATATTATCAATGTGTCACACACTGTTAAAAAAAAAAATGAGGCTATCCATGGCGACTCACACCTGTAATCCCAGTACTTTGGGAGAAGGGAGGATCACTTGAGGCCAGCAGTTCAAGAGCAGCCTGGTCAAGAGCATAGCAAGACCCCATCTCTATGTTTCAAAAATAAAATAAAGGCCGGGCACAGTGGCTCACGCCTGTAATCCCAGCACTTTGGGAGGCCAAGGCAGGCAGATCACGAGGTCAAGAGATTGAGGCCATCCTGGCCAACATGGTGAACAGTCTCTACTAAAAATACAAAAATTAGCCAGGTGTGGTGATGCATGCCTGTAATCCCAGCTACTCGGGAGACTGAGGCAGGAGAATCACTTGAACCCGGGAGGCAGAGGGTTGCAGTGAGCCAAGATCGTGCCACTGCACTCCAGCCTGATGACAGAGCGAGACTCTGTCTCAAAATGAATAAACAAATAAAAATAAAATAAATAAAATAGAAATAAAAATAAATTAGAAAGCCATAGTCTATGTTCTAAAAGTCTTCAATCCACCCAGGGACAAGCGTAGCTCCAGAGGATGTACTAGGCACTTTGGTAATATTGCCCGAGTACAGAACGAGGGGCATTAGATGATGGATGGATGCAACATAGCATCAAATAACATTTTTAAATAACAAGAAAGTCCCTTTTCAATTATCCTGCAAAAATAAAGTATCCGTTTGTTACCAATATGTCTTTAACCTCTCTGATGTTAGCTAAGCTTCCTTCTCAACAAAGAGTAAGCAGGTCCCAGTCTCGGACCTCCTGCAGCCAACAGTATCCAGCTAGAAATGAATGATATCGTTTTGTTCCTGTTGTGCCTATTTTTATAATTATTGTCTATCTGTTGGCCAGTGATATTGGTTCTCCATTTCTGATAATGACAGAATATTTCCCTTTAAAATAAATTTAAGTTTCAAAAGTGAGCCAATTGAACAAAAACATTCAGCAAATAATAGTCCGGATAGTAAATGGCTATGCCTAAAACTGTGACTCTAGTAAGTCATGGTATTCAAACTCATAATCATGGTATTCAAATAACTGGAATTTGTGAAACCTTTTACTCGGGGAGCCCAGAAAAGAGGCAATTGGCATATATGCCTTGAATTGTTAACTCTCTGTTCATGAATTTTGTAATTTCCTAACTAGACAGTAAACTCTTCGCACCTTCTCCCTTTGGGGATGTCTCATCCATTCATCAGGCAGTTTCATTCATTCAGAAAATAAGATGGAAATTCAACTCAGCTTATAAAGTAGGCAAAAAAAAAAAAAAAAGGAAAATTGAAGCACAAAGGTAGACAGGGTGGGAGAGCCAACTTTGGCTTATTTTACGACACATTACAATTCATGAAGTATTTTGCCCATGAACGGTGTGGGATACAGATCCCAGATAAGAAAACAGACCCAGCATGGCTAAGAACCTTGCACAAAGACACACATCCGTGAACCTGGCCCTTCGCTTTCCACCCCCTAAGTTATTCTTGCTACATCATGCTGCTGGGGAGCCCAGTGGGGAAGGCAGCTCCCACACATACCACCGATGCTCTCAGCCTTCAGCAGGCAGAGCTGGGATGCCAGACCCTGCTCACAGGCGTGGCCTGAGTTGGTCTGAATGCAACCTCCCCAGCTCCACAATGCATCGTGAGAGCAGTACATAGCAACACACACAAACTCGTAACCACGCACGGGCCGCGTGTGTAGGGAGACAGCAGCAAACCCACACCAGCTCCGAGGACCCTGGGGCTTCCACTCACGGGAAGCCTTTGGGGGTTCCCGTGTCTGAACAGAACAACAGAACAGCACACCCAACAAATTCCACTCCTTCTGCTTCCTGTTCCTGAAAAGGTACTAAGAATCACAGGTCCTCTCTGAGGCCTAAGAAGCCTTCACCCTCCAATGGCCTGTGGATGAGCTAAGTGCAAGTTCCCTGGGCCGGAAGAGCCCAGAAAAAAAGGGATAAACAACATTGGCTGAAATATCCAGTCAAACAGACCCCAGCCCGTAACACCTGAGAATAATCAATTCCTGAGTGGAAACTCAACAAGGCAGTAATATGAATACCAGCAGTCACCCTATCCAAGCCGAGAGTCCGACTGCCCAGGGAGCTGGGCTGGACAGAGAGTCCAACTGCTGGCCACAGTGGAGTGGTTTGCAGCAGCCGAGACTCCCAATCCAGTGATGCTCAAGGAATGGTAAACACATTCTGGGAGACATCAGAATGGACCCAGGGTCCCCTAGGAGCCATTAGGCCATAAATGTCCATTCCCATGAATCATCATGGAACCCTCTGACTTTAGCTAAGCTCCTGGGCAAGCCAAGAGAGATAACAGAACGTGAGGCCTCCTAAGGGCATGCCCCGCTCAGCAGACAGTGACACAGCTAACAGCCCCAACAGCTGTTCTTCCTTCCTTTTGCTTCCATTGTAACTTTCGCTTTGTTTTCCCTTACAATTGTGTGCACAGAACAGGGAAGGATGGGAATAAGTGGGACGCACCATTGCTCATATTGGTGCCTGGATGTAAACAGCAGCATTATCTCCTCTGGAGAATGGCCTTCACTCCACACAGATTCATGAGTCCACTCAGAACAAGAGTCGTCGGCCTTTTGAGCAGAATGCATCATTATGTGCTGTAGGTCGACAGAATAGCAGAGCAGGAAGGGGCCTTGGAGACTGGTGGGAGCTAGGAGAACACCCACAGGTCATGATGCTGTTTGCAAGATCCTTTACAAAGGTCCTTAACGTACCGACGTGCTTAATTCCACCATTAAAACTAGGAACAATTCTGTAGAAAAACCCTCAACCCAAACTAAGCCTAGAAATTAAACATGATTGGCCAATTCCACATGCTCCCATTAATATTCTTTCACTTCTCACCCACTCCTTTTGCCCTCAGCAAGTACTTACTGGCAGGCAAGGAGTAACAGCTTCCAAAGGTTTCACAAAAAGATCTGTTAGAACAACTGTAAATTGAGAAAACTATCTTGATTCATGTTACTTTTTAGTAAATTGCAAAAACATTATCAACGTTTTTATTTTGGTATAGACTGCCTCAGTCCAAGTCATGGGAAGACGGCACTGTCAGATACACAGCTGGAGAATCCCTGATTTCACACCCAACCTTCTCTTTTTCTAGAACAGAAGTCGAGATCCAGAAAGAAGCCAGTTGGCAGCAGACAAGGTCCTAGAACCCAGGTCTTCCAGTGCTCAGCTCCCTTCTTGGGTTCAGGCACACCACGGACTAAATGACATGCTTCCAAAGCGCAGTTAGCCATGCACATGGAGCGGCAGCCGCACACAGGAGCCCAGCATCATCCGGTGCTCCAGAGTGCACCTGCAGCAGGACTCCAGGAGCCCTCTCCGGCCAATGCGTCCCCAGAGAGCAGGTGGCGGGCGTTCCCATTTGATCTCCCTTCATACAGCAGCCAGGCAGGACTACCACGCTCTACCTAAGGCTTCTCCTAGGCTTTGGGGAATATGTTCCAGGGTTTGTAAGCATTTGGGGGCCATGCAATGGAACCTCAGGACAGTCTGATGAAATCTATGGACCCCTCTCAGAATGTTTTTAAATGTATAAAATAATTATCCAGGGCAACAGAGAGACTAAATGTACAGAAATAGAGTTATCCAAAGAGTTAAATATAAATTTTTGATGTAGTAATAGACTTCCTTCTCTATTAACACATGAAATAATGAGACCTAGAGACGCATCTAAAAATTAACATAATTTCTAAGTAGAAATGACTCTAATTTGTTTTCGAGATTTGTGCAACAAATTTGATATGATACAAATCTATGTGTTCGTTATTGTTATTGTTGTGTTGTTGTTGTTTTGTTTTGTTTTTTGAGACAGTCTCACTCTGTCACCCAGGCTGGAGGGCAGTGGCACAATCTCGGCTCACTGCAATCTCCACCTCCTGGGTTCAAACAATTCTCATGCCTCAGCCTCTGGAGTAGCTGGGATTACAGGCACGTGCCACCACGTCTGGCTAATTTTTGTATTTTAGTAGAGACACAGTTTCACCATGTCAGCCAGGCCGGTCTGGAACTCCTGACCTCAGGTGATCCACCCATTAAGGCCTCCCAAAGTGCTGGGATGACAGGTGTGAGCCACTGCGCCTGGCCTCCATGTGTTATTTCTACTAGTGACAGTCACAGGAACTCATCTTAATGTAGGTTTTTGCCTATATCATTAACTGAAGTAGATACTAAATGTCAGTTAAATGTTGATGAAAATAAAGATGTAATTTTCTAGTGTTCAAGTTTGTGGATTCTAACCCTGAATTCTATCCACAAAACCCTCAAGATTCAAGAACCCCTGATACTGTCACATGGCCCCAGGAGTCATCAGATATAAGCACCCTAAAAAGCTGTCCAGGGGTAGCAGGGAGGCTGTGTCTGCAGTGAAGGAGGGACACTTAAGGCTGAAGTAGCCCCAAGAACCACCCTCATCATCTGGCAAGCCCAGATATAACCATTCTGTGCATCCTCAGACCTCAAAGCCTCAAAGACTGTCTACCACATACACCACCCACTTCAGCTAAACCTTTCAAACTTGCACAGTCCACGCCAGCAACTCAGCATCCTGAGGGCGAATTCTTCCTGGAGATCTGACAGGGGTAGGAAACACTGCTCACCCACTCCTGCTGGACCCCAGCGTCTGGGGGCAGGGAGAGGGAAGGTGATTTCACCCAGACCTTCAAAACAGAGTTAAGCCTACCCAGTCCGTCGGACCATCGGTCACTCTCCCAGGACTCTTCTCACCTCTGTTACTGCACTTTTAGACCCTATTGTGTGATTCTCCCAGGTCAGGTCTGCTTCCCTTGAAAGCAGGGGCCACGTCTTATTCACCTTGGCATCCTCAGTTCCCAGCCCACCCCAGACCTAGCACCTAGTAGGTGCTCAGTAAATGTCTGCTACATTAAAAGCAGGAGAGAGGGGCCAGAGGCCGAGCCTGGCAGGTCCCTCCTGGCAGCTGCTTTACAGCTGCTGTGACTGCCCAACCAGCCCCTGACCGACAAAGGCCCTGAACTTATCAAGTGATGGATGGAGAAGGGCTTTCGCCCTCAATGATCGTCTCAGAGCCCAAAACATCTAGCAGTGCCGCGAAGAGGGATGATTAGCAAGACAGAGACCGACTGTCCCCCAAGTCTCTCTTCACCAAATGCAGACATTGATGTGAATGACAGTAGGAAGCACAGATGATACTCAAGATATTTAACAACCAGCATAACATACGGTGAATCAGGGCAGGCACCAGCCACGAACAGCAGGTACAGTTATACCAGGAATACCAGTCGGACAGGGAGATAATAACTTCGCTAGGAGAAAGACTAACGTAAGAAAGCCAGACGCCCGTGGCTTATTTGTCTGCATAGACTCTATAATGTCAGTATTTAATCCGATTAAGGCATTAACCAGCAGTGTGACCTTGTGCCAGTCACAGGCTCTCTCTGGGCTTCAGTTCCTGCTCTAAGATGAAATTGAAAGAAATTATCTCAAGCTGTTACGATTGTAATGTCCTATGATCCCACCTTCTCACACATCACAGGTGGCACCTGGTAACAAAGAAAATCAGCAAAGCACACAGCTGGCTAAGGTGATGCACAGACCAGAAACCCTTGACAAGGACAATCGCGACGTTTGCTGAGCCGTGCCATCTGGTGCTGCAGTTTGGGATATGGCATGTCAAAGCCCAGAAACCTCCTTCCAGCCCCATCTGAGGAATCCTACAAATCTCCAGAAGCAACGTGTCAGTTGGTAAAAGACTCCAGACATAAAGGACTTGGAAAAGAGCCACACCCAGCTCCCTTCCTCCTCCTTGTAAACCCTCAGCCTGCTTTTCACTAGACCCACTGCCCAATTTTGTACAAAACCTAGACAGTGTTCATCTCCGTGGCTGGATGAGTGCCACCTCTGGGGAGTACAAGATAATAAAGAACGAGAGGAGCAGAAGCAAGACCTTGTTTCAAGGCGCAGCCCTGCTGCTCGCCCGCTTGACAAGGTGCTTTACGTTTCCTAGTCAGTGAGAAAGCACACTAGCTGCTCTAACCTCCTCAGGGTTGGGGAGGTTGGGGTGGGGGCTGCTAAAAGGAGCATCAGAGGAGAATGCTGAAGGTTAATGTTCTCATTATAGAATCTTTGGAGATGGAAACAGACATGCACCTGGGTTTGGGGGTTCGGGGGCTTCCCTTGCCCCTCCCTGCTTTCCCTGTGCATCCCCACCCCAGGCTGCCTGGAGGCATCCCCTCTGAGATCAAATCCAGCCCTACTGTGCCTGCCTCTCCTCAGCTGTGCGGTCTCATAGGCAGGGACTGCAGGGTTCTTTGTTGTGTTCCTCAAAGATCCCCTGGGGTAGGAAAGAGGCAAGGGAGAAGCCCAAGGCCCCAGCCTGCTGCCTGGAGGTGGGACAAGTGGGACAGGAACACAGCCAAGGCCAGGGGGAAATCGTCGCATCTTCCCCAGTCATTAGTGTGAGCAGCAGCGGCACGACTGTTCCCTACACTCAGGAGAGCACCACAGCGGCACCAACAAATAGTAGAGACGAGGGCATCATTAAAACCCACATTTGCATTTTCCCTGCATTTGCTACATCCTTTCCTAGGAACACACGCCCCCATCCCACTCCAGAGGAGAAAACAGACTCATTTTACAATGGAGTCCGTGGGGGCCTGGAGATCCCCATCCCACAGAAATACACCACTCCCCGATCCAGCACCAGCAGCCTGCCCTCTGTGGATGCCCAAGGCAGAGCAATGGGGAGGAAGGCCTCCGGGGACGC